TGAGCAGATATACAAGAGAAACATTTTTGGTCAGATTTGGTCTTCTTTTAAAAAAAAAATTCCTGAAGGCATACAATGGTATTATACTCTTTAACAAGAGTTTAGGAAGATGGTTCTGACAGCAAAGAAAGAAGCCCCTGCCAAACGGGAGCCAAAGCAAAGGTTTTAAAGGCCAAGAAGGCAGTCTTGAAGCGCATCCGCACATCACCCACCTCTGGTTGCCCAAGATACTGAGACTCCAAAGGCAGCACAGATAACCCCAGAAGACCACCACCAAGAGAAATAAGCGTGACCACTATGCCATCATCAGATTTCCCGATCACAGAGTCAGCCATAAAGAAGAAAGAAAGTAACAACATACTTGTGTTCATTGTGCATGTCAAGATCAGTAAGCACCAAATTAAACAAGCTGTAAAAATCTCTATGACGTGGATGTGGCCAAAGTCAACACCTTGATTAGGCCTGATGGAAAGAAGGCCTGTGTTTGACTTGCTCAGGACTATGGTGCTTTGGATCTCAAAACTGAGATCATCTACACTGACCCCAGCTGGCTAACTGTAAATAGAAAATTTTCTCACAAAAAAGAATTTTTTAAAAAAGAGTTTAGACTAACTTAAGTGCTGCCAATGTCATGCCTAGTTTACTTTATTGCTTATGTAAATAAAAGGATTAATTTTGTCGAGTTTAGAATCCAAGAGGATAAAAGCAGAAGATGAGAAAAGAGTTTTCTCACCCTAGGAGAATATAATGAAGTAAAGAAAAATGCCAGCAAGGAAAAAAGTTGCAAAAGCTACAGTTTTAAGCTAATAATTATTTCTCATGTTGTCCATACCAAGGAGATTACTTTTTCTACACTAATAGAAAAATGGGCATGCGATCAGGAAGGGCAGGTCCCTTGAGAAGGATATCATACTTGGTAAAGTAGAAAGGGTCAGTTAAAAAGATGAAGACCTTTAAGGAGACAGATTGACATAGTGGTAGCAACAATAGGTCCAAACATAACAACAACTGTGAGGATGGCACAAGTCCAGACAATGTTTCATTCTGCTGTACAAAATGTCATTTTTACTAAGTCATCTTTAGTCTATTTTGATTCACGAGTTTCAGGGTAGAATGCACACCACATGGTTTTTAATGGCTATAACCTTCCAGAAGTAGATGACCAGGCATTTCTTCTGGGATATCTCTAAGTGAAACCAATCCACCAATCTTTTAGTTAATAACTGAGCATTGAACCATTTGTTGCACCCAGAAACTCCTATTATAAGTGGACGCAATTTATTTAATGATACACAGGATTTACCTCAAAAGATATTCTCAATGAAGGAAAAAATGCAGGAAAGCACAAGGCTACTTTTTATATGACTTTTATTTTTAGCTTCTATTACAATGTATACATCTCAAATATAACTACAATATAGTTTATGACAAACTCAAACATTTTAAGCATTCACAGATCTAGGAAATTGGTAAAGAATCTTATGTAAACAGTGTTGTTTTAACCATGGCTATTTATTTCATGAAGCAATTCTTGATTCTTTCCTCAAGAATATAACACAACAAACAACAGATATTAAAGAAAAAAGTGATCTAAACATACAACCAAAAGCTAGGCAAATTACTTGGCCATTCTAATTTAGCTGGCCCTTCTTTCATTGCAGGCAGTCCCCGGTTTATGACATATTCTAGTTAGGATGAACTGCTTTTATCACCTTTTTGTGCATGTTATTAATAATATATACTACATATAGGGTTGCAGTGTGTAATTTGCTGATGTTATCATTCTCACATATTCACCCCTTGGTATTGAAAGATAGGATTTAGAAGCGGATCATCAAATGCAATACTAACAAAAGCTGAAGGGAGAAAATGAGAGGTATTTTACTTAAAATGGAGTTGTGAGAGTGAACTCCATCAAGTCGGAGACTACCTGTACTTCCGTTAATGTTTCTCTGAAATTGCTACTTAGAATTGCATTATTTACAGATGCATTTTTTCTTAGCTCTTTTAATAAAGCTATCAAAATGCTAGAAAATCATGCTGAACTTTTTGGGTTGAAATTTTCAACAATCAGCATTTAGAAACAGCCCACAAACCAGTTAGTTATATCATGTGCAAAGTATGTATCAATCAAAAAGTTAAAATAAAATTGTTCCATTTTATCCCAATTTTATATTTGTATTTATTTTCAAATACGTTTGCCTTCGTTTTGTTCTAATCTAAATTTTGCAGTGTAACTGCCATTGTACAGTGTTAAATAAAATGAGTTTAGGGAATTTGTTATTTAATTGTTACTGACAGTAACTTCTGACAGTCACTATCTTAGAATTAATACCAAACAACAATGATCTGTGACAAGAGGGATCTACTTTCACTTTAAGCTTACTGTGTGTTTAATGAGGTCTCTGTTCCAAATATTTTTATCCATCAATACAAAGTTACAAGGAGATATTCTGGACAGAAGCTTAACTGTGTTACAAAACTTAGCCATGTCACATATATGTTTATTTTAATTATAAGTCAGCATGAAATAGGAAAACAAGTGACTTCTTAATTTCTTAGAAGTGTTCAGAAATAATTTTACAGAATAATATTTTAATTTTTAAAAATTGTTCATAGAAATCAAGCCATGTAAAAACTATATTAAATTACACATAAACCTGCTCATAATTGTAAAACTAGTAGGCCATGAGTTGACTTTTGATTCATAGCAACTCTGTGTGCTTTTAACTAAATATTCCCAATAGAATTATATCAGTTTAAAATAATGAGCATGGACAACCTCAAGATAATTTTAGCAACTGAGTATATTTTTTGGTTCCCCAATTAGATTGTCAGTTCCTCTTTTCACCAAGCATAGCAGGCATGTAATGAGATGCTCTATATAGTCTAGGACAACACTGAACGGTATCTTTTGTATTCAATTTAAAAAGTGGTTCATATGACCTTAGAGAATGATTTATATGTAATGAATCTTTGGCTCTAGGTGTTGTTCCCTAAACAGCTTAGCGTGTCTAAATTTGATTATCTCCTTTGTGGATATTACATATTTGGTAAATTGGTGTATATATTTAATTCAATGCTGGCAAGTCAATTTTGTCTCATGCATGCCAAGCTTCCTTTGGGGTTTCAAGGCTGTAAATATTCATGGGAGGAGAATTCTCATCTATCTTATCTATCTTGCACAGACTGCTTGGTTGAGTCAAGCTGCTGATACAGGAGTCCAAGTCATAATGAACTATGTTATTTGGGCTCATTGTAACATATATGACCGTTACCAAAAGAAAACTCATTGGCATTGAGTTGATTATGACTTACAGGATCCTAGTACAGACACACCATATGGTTTCCAAAGCTGTAGTCTTTTGGAGTGGCCTGTCACATCTTCTTACCACTGAGCACTGGTGGATTTGTACTTCTGATTCTGGGTTAGCGACAGCCTTTTATCACTGCAAGCCAGGCATGCCCCTTTTAAATCAACAGGCATGTTTAAATCTCCTTTATCAGTAACTTGCAACAAGAGCAAAATGGGTTTAAAGTATCTATTATGAAAGTTATGACCTGTATCTCAACTTAAAAAGCAAAGGAATACAATGTTGTCTATATATTTGCTTCAAAAACTTCTTCAAAACTCTCTAAATAATACTATTTTCTAATTATGTAACTAATTGTTTTTTCTTTCTGAATAAATCACTTGGTAGAAAAAAAATTCTCAGGCTCCTGGAATATAATCATAAAAATATATCATGATTATTTCAAGTAACTATTAACAAATATTATTTTTAACAGATTTCCAGTCCTTGGGACAATATTATGACAAAATTAATATATGTTTGGAAAACTATAAGCTGAGAGTACTTTATTATTGGTAATGCAAAGTATACCTTAGAACTACAGAATCAATGGGACACGCACTTATTTTGCACTTGAAAAACCAAAAATATAAAAGGATTGGTTGTATAAATTAGGAAAGAAAGTTAGTTGCTAGAAAGCAAGTTGGCAAGAATTCCAGTTGTTTGTTCTTTCTTTGAAACTAGACATGTCAGTGTTGAAAGTCTACCATCTATAATGACATGAGAGCTTGTCAAACACATTTTTGGATCACATAGTTGTGGACATACTGTGCCCAAATCATTAGCTGCTCAAATATGCACCATATTATCAAATAGCTGTTCCCTCCTTAGGAAACACTTCACTGAAGCGAAACAACAATTTTGCTTAGTGCTAAGAGATGACTAAAATACTGCAAGGGAAAAAAGAAACATGTGACAAAAGATATTATGAGTTAGGACATGACTCATGTTTTGGGGCCAGTGTTGGTTAATAATAAACAGGAACTAAAGCTTTCTCCAATTGCTGCTTCTTTTTTTTTTTTTTTTTTTGCTTGTTATTCTCTTTTGAGGAATGTAAGAAGTATCTTGAATAATTCTTTACGTGTTGTGGCTATTGTATAAGCAAAGGTGAATATGAAAAGCACAAGATATTAAGCACAATATTTGAAGGATAAGTCTTATGTTTGGTGTCTGAGTAAAGATGAATTAGGAGTATTTTTTTCATGAACAGTATATACACTTTACTCCTCGATTTCCCACTGACCATTTTTCCAGCTATGTGTGTATCTATGTGTGTTTGTGTGTGTGAATGCCCATACTTATGTAGGGAAAATGAATGATTACAATCCTATGAATAAAATGACAAGGCGTATGTGAAATTTTTCTACATGGTCTTATGAGTTATTAAAATAAATAATCATTTGTGATTGCTTTATCAATAATTCCTACGGAGTAACTTTTACCATTCTCACAGTATCATATACCAATGCAAACATAGGCATCTGCCAATACTGCCCATCTCTCTTAGGGAATTGAATGGAGTTAGTAACTGCTCTGACTTTGAGAATATTTTGATAAAAAGAGTTTGGCATAGACCTCCTTGAAAGAGTCTTATTAACACAAATATATTACCTTCATATGCTGTAAACAATATACAAAAGTGAAGCTCTACTGTTTGCTTTCCTTGCCGTCTTTCTCTTGGTCTTCCTTTTCTGTTTTGTCTGTTTCATATTTCTCATTGCCTGGCTTTGTCACACTATCATATGAAGGTGGAGAGGCAGTAGATGGGGTCACATTGATTTTATCTGGACTTGAGTTTTCATTAACATTATCTAAATCCAAATCCTCTTTATTGGGCAGATTATCATCTCTGTCTCCATCTTTTAAATATATACTTGATATATTTTTAACATTTTTCCGTAAGCGGTAATGTCTGTAAGCACGCTGAATGACAGTAGCAGATACATCCTCTTGTTTCCGTTTTAGTGTAGTTGTGATGGGTTCATAGGAGACTTTAGAAGGATTTGCAGACATGAACCTTTCTTCCATTTGTGAACGAAGAGAATCCATCTCTCCACCTTCACCCAAAACACGCTTTGTAAAAGCAAATAAGATGTCAAGACAATGAATTCGGTCACCGCTGACCATGGGCAGATCCATGGCAATGAGCTGGACTTTGTTGGGTTTTGCTATGAGAAGCGGAGGATCCAGGGCAGCTGCAAATTCAGACAGTTTGCTATATTCTATAAATTGCGTTGCATCGGGATCAAACTTCTCCCAAACCTCATAGAACATCTCGAAGTCATCCTCACTCAAGGGTTCAGTACTTTCCTCAGTAGCAACACTGAAGTTCTCCAGGATGACAGCGATGTACATGTTCACCACCACCAGGAATGAGATGATGATGTAGCTGACGAAGTAGAAAATCCCAACAGATGGGCTTCCACAGTCTCCTTCAACTGTACTACCGGGATGAACTTTTTTTGGATCACAGTCGGGTGGTCCACTGTTGAGAATAGGGGCCAGCAAGCCGTCCCAGCCAGCAGAGGTGGTAATTTGGAACAGGCAGATCATGCTGTTGCCAAAGGTCTCGAAGTTGAACATGTCATTAATACCAGCTTCCTTTTTAACATAAGCAAAGTTGGACATTCCGAAGATGGCGTAGATGAACATGACGAGGAAGAGCAGGAGGCCGATGTTAAACAACGCAGGGAGCGACATCATCAACGCAAAGAGCAGCGTGCGGATTCCCTTTGCTCCTTTGATCAGACGCAGGATTCGGCCGATCCTGGCGAGTCGGATCACTCGGAACAGGGTCGGGGAAACAAAGTATCTTTCTATTATGTCAGCCAAAAACATTCCTATTTGAGAAGCAAATGAACAAAAGGAAATACTGAAATATCTAGAGTACAAAGTGTCAAGGCTCAACAGTTTAATATGCTATATTTTCAGTAATCTAAGACTAGTTTGCATTGAAAGTATGTAACAGTTAAAGAATTCATCACTTTGAATAGTAAATTATTATTATTTTTCCATTTTTTTCTGTCTATGGTCTCTTATTTTTCCTTTAAAATAATATTTTTTAAATTATTGATGGCCAATCTCTTCCTATGTGATTTACTGCCTATTAAAAGATCCAGTCTGAAAAAACAATGTATATGAACTTTGTAAGTAAATCAGTATAGAATAAAACAAAAATGTAAAAGAAAAAAAAACCCTCAAAGGGTCAGCTATGGGTCTTTTCGGATTGAATGGCACACAACAAAACAATTTATGAAGAAAATGAAAGCTGCTCAAAAAGCTAAGAAGCAATAGTAAAACACTTAAAATCCTATCAGTTACAAAATCTAATGTTAATATTTTGTTGAACAATATGTCAGACTTTTCTATGAGCACACACACACACACACACACACACACACACACGACAGGAATTAATTATACAAGATATTTTAAATGAACTGTTTTAGTTATTTCAGCATGGCTATCTTGGTAGGGTTTTTTCCAGCATGGCTATGTAGTTCTTTTCATGTGAAATAATTTTTTTTTTAGGTTGTATGAAATCCTATGAATATAATTGCAAGAAGAATCATAGCATTTAAGTCGCTTCCATTTATTTGTTGTTGTTATGTGCCATCGAATCGCTTGCAACTCATAGTGACCCTATGGACAAGAGCCCTAAACGCTGTTCTATCCTGTGCCAGCCTCACTGTCTCAAACACACTCATTCCCACCACTCCACTCACAGAATCGATCCATCTCATCGAGGGTCTTCTCCTGTGCTGTCCCTCCACTCTCCCAAACATGATGTCCCTCTCCAAGGACCAGTCCCTCCTTGCAACATGCCCAAAGTATGTCAGACGAAGCTTCAGAATCCTTGACTCCAGGGAACATTCTGGCTTCCCCCTCTCCAGGACAAATCTGTTTGTTCTCCTAGCAGTCCAAGCTATATTCAATACTCTTCTCCAGAACCACAGCTCAAAGGCATCAATTGACTTTCTATCATCCCTATTCACTGTCCAACTCTCTGATGCATAACACGTAATTTCAAAGACTATAGCCTGGATCAGGAGCACCTTAGTCTCCAGCCTGACATTGTTGCTCTTCAGTACTCTTGAGAGGTCCCTCACAGCTGACTTTCCCAACAAAATCTGTCCCCTGGTTTCCTGGCTGCTGTTACCAAGTGTGTTGACTGTGGAACCAAGTAAACTAAACTGTTAACTATCTCAATCTCTTCACCATCCGCATTGATGCTGCCAATTCGCCCGTGGTAAGAATCTTTGTTTTCTTGGTGTTGAGCTTCAATCCATATTGAAGGCTGCAGTCCTTGATTTTCTGCAGCCAGAGCTTCAGGTCTTCCTCAGTTGCAGCAAGCAGGGTTGCGTCATCAGTATGAACACCCTTAATAGGAGTGTATTGCTGTTTTTATTTATACTTTTTACCAAAAAATGCTGTATGAAGGTTAAAAAGATCATTATGACAATTTATTTTTTATTTTGGGAAATGAATAACCCATGTGATAATACTTTTTATTTCTTTATTAGAATTTTATTATGCTTATTTATTATTTCCAATTTTCTCTTTTTGCGCTATCCAGGCTCATTGCTCATTTTTCTGTTGATGTGCTTTCCTTATTATTTTTAATTATAAGAACATTTTTTTCTATCAGAATTACTATTCCTTTCTTATTCTTATATACTCCATTAATTTTCCTCTATTCTTTGTCTTTCAACATTTGTTGGGGGTGTATTTTCCATCCCTATAGATAATTAGATTCATCCTGGAGACGGTTAAGCCAAGCTACTCCTTGGAGGCAAGGATTCTGGGGCTTTGTCTGACATACTTTGGACATATTGTAAGGAGAGACAGGTCCTTGGAGAGGGAGATCATGCTTGGGAGGGTGGGGGGATGGTGCAAGAGGGGAAGACCCTCTATGAGGTGGATTGATTCAGTGACTGGGGTAATGGGAATGGGTGTGTCAGAGGCAGTGTGATTGGCACAGGATAGAGCAGGGTTTAGGGCTATTGTACATAGGGTCGCTATTAGTCGCAAACGACTTGACAGCACATAACAACAACAACAATATAGAAAATTGTGATTTTTCTGTGACCATACCTATTACTATTTTCTCCTGAGGTTCAGGTATGTATCGTGCTTGTTGTTGGGTCTCATCAAGTTGACTACAGTCCATGGCATCCCTGTGAACAAAGGTCTGAAGCTTGTCCTATCCTGCACCGTCTTTACCATCTGTCATGCTCAATCCCACTATCATGCCTTGATAATCTTTATTGAAGTCCACAGCTATCAATCTTTTTCACAAGTTTTCAATTACAATCCATTTTTTTACACTCTAATTTGTCTTGTTTCTAAGTTAGTGGATTTATTTTTGAAGTTTCATTTTGAACTATCTAAATCCAGGGAGCAATTATTTTTCCCTACACTGCTTGCTTATTATTACTTTCATAATTTAACAATGTATCAGAAATTACCTTTCATCACTCTAATTTTTCTTCCAGATGAATGCTATAACAGATGGTACTTCTGTTGTTCAATTTATTACCTCATTACAAAAAAAGTTTATATTTTAATTGACATTGCAATAAATTTATAGATTTCATTTTTTAAAAAAATCAGAATCATAGACTCACTAGAGTACAAGGTAAGTTTTTCACATATTAAACTTTTTCTTATGTCCTTCAGTTTTTTTCTTAGATGTTTTACATTTTAAACATCTTGAAAACATCTATTTTAACATGTGATACTCAATATTTTGGTAGTAGATTATAGGGCATTTTAACTTTTCTGGGTCTGTGTGACCATCTGTAAATGGAAATTTTATTTCATGATCTCTGGTATTCTTTATTATCTATAATTTATAGCACTAACAACAAATTAAATTTTAAAATATTGTGTAATATATATGTAGATAAAGGAAATAAAAACAAGAATAAAAAAAGACAAATAAATGAAAAATCCAAAAGAAAAAAAAGAGAAAAGCTATTTCCAGAGTATTGATTTTAGAAAAAGAATTTTGAAATAGTGTAATATGTGTTTCCAATGAACAGAAAACATTTGGCCTTAAGCCCTGTTGTATTAGCACTATGCTTTTGCCACAGAGATTTAATTATTTTTAAATTATTAATTATTTAATTATTTTAATTATTTTTGAGATTGCTTTATTTGTTTTATTAACTAACTTACTTAGACACCATATTCAAAATTTCATCTAACCCCTGACCCACCCTGCACCTATTGAATAGAATTTCATATTAAATTAATATTTAATTAGTATATGTGCTTACCTACAATGGAGAGGATCACAACCACAAAATCAAATATGTTCCATCCTATGGTGAAGTAGTAATGTCTGAGGGAGATCAGTTTCAGGACACATTCTCCAGTGAAGAGGATGATAAAAACCACATTTATCCAATATAAAACATCGGTCATATAGTCACTCTGGCCTTCTTTCTCTACCATCATGGTCACCATGTTAAGACAAATAAGAACCATGATGGTGATGTCAAAAGCCTGGTTTGTCACTAAGTCAAATATACACCCTTGGAATTTGTTCTGCAAAGATAGAAGAATAAACATGAAAGGTGAAAATAGAGGAAATATTGCAAATTTTATCCACAACTTATTACATCAGCAAAAAAAACAAAAACAAAACACCACCCAAAAATAATTCCTTAACTGTCTCTAGTAATGGCATTTTGCTTAGTAGAAGAAATATTTTAATCTGTTAAGTCTAAGTCAGAGTACATATATTTTTATATTCTTTATAAAAACAAAACAAACAAGATTGATGTCTTCTCCCCACCACTATATACTTACGTATATCAGCAGGAGCACAATACCCAATAAGCCAAACTGTTGTTGTTGTTAGGTGCTGTTGAGTTGATTACAACTCATAGTGATCCTGTGAAAAAAGATGTGAACCTTGTTCTATCCTGTGCCAGCCTTACACTTCCTGACACACAAAGGCAATTGCAGCAGTCACTGCATCAATTGACCTGCTTGAGGGTCTTCCTCTCCTTCACTCAATCGACCTGCTTGAGGGTCTTCCTCTCCTTCACTCAGCCTCCACCCTTCCCAGTAACGTGCCCAAAGTGTGTGAGGCAAAGCTTCAACATTCTTGTCTCCAAAGAGCACTCCCGCTGCACCATCTCCATCTGTCTGTCCTCTTGGCCATCCATGGAGTGTTCAGTGCCCTTCACCAACACCGTAGCTTAAAGGTGTCCATTCTGCCATCCTTATTCATCATCTAGCTCTCAGATTCATAGCAAGTGATTAGAAAGACTATAGTCTGGATCAGATGCATCTTAGTCCTCAAATGGACATCATTACCCTTCAATAATTTGGAGAGGTTCCTAACAGCAGATTTCCCTAGTGCAGTGTGTTACCTTATTCCCTGACTGTGAGTACCAAGGTTATTAATTGTGGATCTAACCAAGATGAACTGTTGAGAGTTTCAATCTCCTCTCCATCCATCATGATGCTGCTTATCAGTTCAGTAGTAAGAATCTTTGTTTTCTTGACGTTGAGATGCAATCCATACAGAAGGCTGCATTCAAGTTCTCTTCACTTTCAGCAAGCAGGGTTGCATTAACTGGATAACACAAGTTATTGATGAATCTTCCCCTACTTGTGATGCCACACTCATCTTCATAGAGTCCTATTTATCAGATAATTTGCTCAGCATAGAGAATAAAAACTATGGAGAGAAAGCATAACTCTGATGCACTCCCTTCTCAATTTCATCTAGTGACTAGGGATGATAGAAAGAGAATTGATGCCTTTGAGCTGTGATGCTGGAGAAGAGTGTTGAATATACCATGGACTGCTAGGAGGTTAAACAGGTTTGTCCTCGAGAGGGTGAAGCTGGACTGCTCCTCAGAGTCAAGGATTCTGAAGCTTCGTCTGACATACTTTGGGCATGTAACAAGGAGGGATGGGTACTTGGAGAGGGACATATTCTTGAGAGAGTGGAGGGATGGGGCAGGAGAGGAAGATTTCGATGACATGAATTGATTCTGTTATTGGGGTGGTGGTGTGAGTGTGCCAGAGATGGCGAGGCTGGCACGGGATAGAGCAGAGTTTAGGACTCTTGTACATAGGGTTGTTATGAGTGGCAAGCGACTCGATGGTACCTAACAACAACAAACAACAAAAATTTGTCATGAATAGTTTCACATGGGAAGTGGTGAAATAATATGAAATTTTCCACCATAAGAACAATTGATTCCTCAGGATAGTGCTGTGTGTGAGACAGATGTTAGCCACACCTACTGTTAGGGACCTCTCCAAAGTGCTGAAGAGCAATGGTGTCTCTTTGGAGACTAAGGTGCATCTGATACAGGCCATAGTCTTTGCAATCACCTGTTATGCATCAGAGAGTTGGACAATGATCAAGGAGTATAGAAGGAGAATTGATGCCTTTGAGCTGTGGTGCTGGAGAAGAGTATTGAGAATACCATGGACTGCTAGGAAAACAAACAGATTTGTCCTGGAAAGGGTTAAACCGGGTGGCTCCTTGGAGGCAAGGATTCTGAGGCTCCGTCTAACATACTTTGGACATGTTGTGAGGAGAGACCGGTCCTTGGAGAGGGACATCATGTTTGGGAGGGTGGAGGGACAGCGCAGGAGAGGAAGGCCCTCTATGAGGTGGATTGATTCAGTGATTGGGATAATTGGGATGGGAGTGTCAGAGACAATGCGATTGGCACAGGACAGAGCGGAGTTTAGGGCTGTTGTACATAGGGTCGCTATGAGTCACAGGAGACTCGATGGCACATAACAACAACAACAGCAGTGCTACTTACTCTGAACTAAGTCACCAGCGCTCTGGAGGCATATGAAAGTAATAAAATAACTTGTCATTACATTTTTTCTTTTGGTAATGGCTTTAAACAGTTGCTTAATTATAATTTTACTTGATTTTTAAAAGAAAATAGATCATATTGCAAATCACTTCTGTGGAGATAATATACATATTTCACACTGTGGAACTCTGGTGGTGTATTCCATGGGGAGTTGCACTGTAAACTCAAAGGTGACGTCTCTCTGGTGAATCCACAGGTAGCTCCATGAGAAAACTGGACAATCTCCTCTAGAGCAATTTACAGCCTCAGAAAACCCACTGGAGGGTCAGTTATGAGTTGATTCTAATTTGAAGGCAACCTGATGAGAGTTTTATATTACTTTTCGTGTTAGTCTTGCTGATGACTTTATGCTTTCTAGAAAAGTTTTTCAAAATCTCTTTAAGAGTTACATGGGGAGTATAAGTAACATAGCCCTTAATGAATTTTGCTGTTAACCATATAAACCTATCATTTCTGGGAGGTTGAATCTACCAGTGGTTCCACATGAGAAATATAAGCTGTTTCTTCTTATTAGGATTTATAGCCTCAGAAATTCAAAAGAGGGTCCCTACAAGTTGAAACCAACTTTGATGGACAGAGAATTTTAAGTTTTTGAAGAGTTACGTATGTATGTATGAAGGCACTGTGTCAAGATCAGGTCATGTGTACTTCAGACTTGGAAGCAACTCATAGCTGAGCCTCAGTTGGCATTCAGAGGTAGTATATCTCAGGGATGGAGATGGTCTTTCTTTCTCCCACAGAGCAGTTGATGGATTCAAACCTTATTCCTTTGGATTGGTAGTGCAACTCCTTACCATTAAGCCACTAGACTTCTCCAAAGATCAAGTTATTATTAGGTATCTTAGAGTTGGGTACTCTATAACTACCCTATGAACAACTGATCTGAACGCTGTTCTATCTTATGCCATCTTCATTATTTCTGACATACTCAAGCCCAATGATGCAGTCATTATATCAATCCATCTGTCTGAGGATCTTCCTCTCTTTGGTTGATGCTCCACTTTTCAAAGCATTGCGTCACTCTACAAGGAATAGCCACAACATGTCAAAAGTATGTGATCTGAAGTTTTTTCACCTTTGCCTCCAAGGAGCTTTCTCCAAGACATAACTTTGTTCTTTTGGCAGTCTATGGGATATTCAGCACTCTTCTCCAATACCACAACTCAAAGGAATCAATTTTTCTTCTGTCATCCTTATTTACTGTCCAATATTCAGACAGAAAGTGATTGGAAAGACTATGTCCTGAATCAGGCATATCTTAGTCTTCAAACTGGCATAGTTGCTACTCAGTAATTTGGAGAGGTCCTTGACTGCAGTCTTTCCCAATGTGATATGTCTCCTGATCGCTTAACTCTGGCACCAAGTGTTGATGGTGGATCCAAGTAACATGAAGTCATTGAAAGTTTCCATCTTTTCTCCATCTATCTCAGAAGCTCTATGAATTTGGAGCAACAATTAAAATTATACAAGTGTTTAGGTCCTCTGTTCATAGGTTCATGAGTCGTCTATGACTAGATGGCACTTACGAACAACAACATCCTTATTTTGCCTATTCGTCAAGTGGTGAGATTTTTGTTTTCTTGATGTTGATATGTATCTATTTTGAAGTCTGTAATCTTTGATTTTCTGAAGCAAACACTTCAAGTCTTCATCACTTTCAGTGAGCAATGTTGTGTCATCAGCATAACACAGATTATTAGTGAGTCTTCCATCAATTTTGATGGCACCTTCTGCTTTATTCAGTCCAGCTACTCAAATGATTTTCTTACATTCAGCTTGAATATGTATGGAGAGAGGATACAAATTTAATGCACACCTTTCTTGATTTAAAACCACACACTTTTTCTTTATTCAGACAACAGCCTCTTGAACTAAGTGTAGCATCACATAAGCACAGCTAAGTGTTCTGGTATTTCTATTCTTTTCGGTATTAGCCATAAGTTGTTAGGATTTTGTATAGAACATTACCTGATTTGTAAAAATCAAGTTTTTGTTGTTAGGTGCTGTTGAGTCATAGACAACTCATAGTAGGAACTAAAAAAATTAAATATGAGTATTAAATTCTCAAATTTTTATTCAGTAGGGACCTTGCAATGCAATGGCCCATTTAAAAAAAATGCTGAATGATAATTAAGCAGCTGGGTTCTAAATGTTCATCTGTGTTAAGAACATTCTTTCTTCAGGCATAACTCTTTGTTAAGGTGAACTATATTGAGTATAAACTGACATGCATGTAATGCATTTTAAATTTTCCATTCTTTGAGAAATATAAACTATTGTTTGGCTGCTGAGACTATTTCCATTTGAACTTACTCTTGATTTTGATTCCATAGTCGATAAAGTTGAGATTCACAACCTGTCCAATTACTTCTATTGTTATTTTTTTAATGTCAAATACTGTTAGTTTTACACTATTGAAAGATAAAATCACTACCTCACAATATTGTCATTTAGATAAGCATTCAATTGAAAATGTGTTTGAAAATAAGCTGAAGAGCTTCAATAATTTAAAAAAACATTCTGTTAAAAGAACTTTAACATTTTAAAAGAGTCCATAATATTTAAGAAACAGTTATATAAGAAGGATGAAATTAATTTAAAAATTTACATATTAATTATCTATCTCTCTATGTTATCTTACCCCTGGTCGAGGAATTGGTTTTTGTGGTTTCTTGGATCCCAGCTTTTTCATTGCATTGTAATATTTTTTCTGTTCTTCCGTCATAAAGATGTCTTGACCTCCAAGGTAAAGGGGGGGAAAGAAAACTATTTAAAACCAGAATCACTGTATGAATTTTTTAAAAAATAAATATTGCTAAGGACAAGTTCAAAATGTAATAATACAGAAATAAAGAATAGAAAAAATAGCCATGGTCTTTGCAATTACTTGCTATGCATCAAAGGGTGGAAAAAATCTACCAAGTAAATGGCAACCAAAAAACCTAGAAGCAGCAGTATTAATTTCTGATTAAAAAGATTTCAGTGTAAAAACTATAACGTGGACAAGGAAAGGTAATATATAATGCTCAAAGCATCAATAGAACATAATTAACATTTAAGCACAAAATGAAAGACCTGCAAAACACACAAAGCAAATATTAACAGATCTAAAAAAGAAATAGACACCATCATTATAATAGTAGGAGACTTCAATACACCACTCTCAGGGAAAGATAGAACTACTAGAAAGAAACTCAATAAAGATGTTGAAGAATTAAACAGCATAATCAACCAACTTGATTTTATAGATATACACAGACGAACACACCACACAAAAGAAGAGTATACCTTCTTCTCTTTCAATGCACATGAAACATTCTCCAGAATTGACCATATTTTAGATCACAAACAAATCTCAATGAATTAAAAAAACATAGAAATAATACAAATCATTTTGTCAGACCATAGTGCTATACAACTAGAAATCAACAACAGAACAAAGTAAAATAAAACCAAAAAACAAAACACCAAACCCCATACACCCAGAAGCTGTACAGTTCTCTGAGGCTTGAACATGAGTAGATAAGAGAGGAAATTAAAAAAAGAAATTAAAATGTTTCGTGAAACAAATGAAAATGAAAGCAGAACTTAACAAAGATCTTTGGAATAGAGCAAAATCAGTACTTAGAAGTAAATTCAGATCAATAAACACATCAAAAGAAAAGAAAAAATGATACTCAAATATTTAACTCACTAAAAACAGATGCTGATGTACTCACCAACTTGTGCTAAGAAATCTGGAGGACAACCACCTGCCCTACTGATTGGAAGAGATCTATATTTGTTTCCATTCCAAAGAAAGGTGATCTGACAGAGTGTGGAAATTACTGAACAATATCTTTGATACAACATGCAAGCAAGATTCTGCTGAATATCATCCAAAATCAACTGGAACAGCACATCAACAGAGAACTTCCTGAAGTTTATGCTGGATTCAGAAGAGGCTGTGACACTAGGGATATTATAGCTTATGTCAGATGGATCTTGGCTGAAAGCAGTACCAGAGGAACGTTTATCTGTATTTCACTGGCTATGCAAAGGCATTAGACTGTGTGGATCACCACAAACTGTGGTTTACTTTGAGAAGTATGGGAGTCCTAGAACACTTGATTGTGCTTATGTGAAACTTATACTTGGACCAGTAGGCATTCATCAGAACAGAGCAAGGAAACACCGCATGGTTCAAAATTTGGAAGGGTGTGCATCAAGAATGTGTCCTATCTCCATATCTTTTCAGTCTACACGCAGAACAGATTATCCAGGAGGCTAGGCTCTATGAAAAGTGTGGCATCAGGATTGGAGGTAGACTCATCAACAATCTGCATTATGCAGACGACACAACCGTGCTTACTGAAACTGAGGAGGACCTGAAGCGCTTGCTGAAGAAGGTCAAGGACTACAGCCTGCAATATAGATTGAAGCTCAACATCAAGAAAACAAAGATTCTCACCACTGGACCAATTGGCAACATTATAACGGATAGTGAAGAGACTGAGATTGTTGACAGCTTTAGTTTGCTTGGCTCTACAATCAACACTCTTCGTACCAGCAGCCAGCAAATTAAAAGATGAATTGCATTGGGAAAGTCTACTGTCAGAGACCTCTTCAAGGTACTGAGTAACAACAATGTCAGTCTGGAGACTTAAGGTGCACCTTATACATGCCATGGTCTTTGCTATTACTTACTATACATCAGAAAGTGGACAATGACTAGGGATGATAGATGATGAGAGTTGATGCCTTTGAGATGTGGTGTTTGAGAAGAGTACTGAATATACCATGGACTGGTAGGAGAACAAACAAGTTCATCCTAGAGAGGGTGAAGCCAGGCTGCTCCTTAGAGGCAAGGATTCTGAAGCTCTGCCAGACATATTTTTGACATGTCGCAAAGTGGGATCAGTCCTTGGAGAGAGATGTCATGCTTGGGAGGGTGGAGGGACAGCGCAGGAGAGGAAGACTGTAGATGAGATGGCCTGATTCCATCACTGGGGTAATGGGGATAGGTGTGTCAGAGGCAATGAGGCTGGCAAGAGATAGAGCATGGTTTAGGGCTGTTGTACATAGGGTCGTTACGAGTTGGAAGCAACTCCACAGCACATAACAACAAACAACATCTCCAGCAAGTAGAGAAAGAATGGAAAACCCCCCTGACAACCCCTAAAAAGGAATGAAATTACAAAAATTAGGCAGAGATAATGCAATAGAAAACACAAAAACAATTGAGACTGTCAATAAGCCCAGGAGTTGGGTCTTCGAAAAGGTCAATAAAATTGACTAACCATTAGCAAAGCTAAGAAAGGAAAAGAAAGAAAAAACCAAAATAAGAGATGAAAGGGGCAATTTCACAACAGAACCAACTGAAATAAAAAGGTTAACAATAGAATATTATGAAAAATTATACTCAAACAAATATGAAAACCTAGAGGAAACTGAAAAATACTTAGAAACTTACAACCTACCTAAACTGAAACAGATTGTAGTTGAACACCTGAACAGACTCATTATAAAAAAAACAAGTCATAAAACAAATTCCAACTGAGAAAAACTCTGGACTAGACAGTTTTATTAGTGAATTCTAACAAACACTCAAAGAGAACTGTCACTAATTATACATAAACTATTTAAGAAAATAGAAAAAAATGGAATACTCCCAGACTCCTTTTATGAAGCAAACATATCCCTAATACCAAAGTCATGTAAAGACATCACCAAAACAGGAAAGCTGTTTTGATAGGTCAATATCTCTCATGAACATAGGTGCAAAAATCCTCAATAGAATCTGACAAAATATAATCTATAAAAAATAATTCATCATGATCAAGTGGGATTCATAACAGGTGTGCAAGGATGATGGTTAAATGTAAGAAAAACAATACAATTAATCACATTAACAAAGCAAAGAACAAGAACTACATGATTCATTGATGCAAAGTCCAACAGCACTTCATTCAACAAAATATGAATAGAGGGGAATTTCCTAAAAATAGTGAGAGGTAAATGAAAAACTAAGAGCCAATATCATTCAAAATGAAGAGAGATTAAAAACATTTCCCTTGAGAACAGGAACTAGGCAAAGATGACCACTATCACTTATCCTATTCAATATAGTACTGGACATATTAGTGAGAGAAGTAAGAAAAGACAAAAAATATGAGGTATCCAAGTCAACCAAGAGAAGATATAACTATCTCTATATGCAGATGACATGACAGTATATCTAGAAAACCATGAAGATTCAGTGGAGAAACTATTAGTTACCAGTTGACCAATTCAAAAGAGTAGCAGGGTACAAAATCAAATATAAAAATCAGTTGGATTTCACTACAGAAACAAAGAAAATAAAGAAATGGACCTAAGAAAAACTATACCAATTACAATAGCTAACCACAAGATTAAATACTTGGGAATAAATTTAACCGGAAATACAAAAGATCTACACACACAAAAAAAATTACAGAACATTACTATAAGAAACAAAAAGAGGTCTGAGGAAATGGAAAAATATATTATGCTCATGGATAGAAAGACTCAATAACATGAAAATGACAACTCTACCAAAGGTAATCTGCAAATTCTATGCAATCCCAATACAGATACCAGTTCCATTTTTCAACAAGATGGAAAAGACAATTTCCAATTTTATCTGGACTGGAAAGAGACCACCAATAAGCAACACACTATTGGAAAATTGAAACAAAGTAGGTGGCATCACACTCCCAGATCTCAAATATTAACTATACAGTTGTAGTAGTCAAGACGGCATGGTACTGGTACAGCAAGAGACACATAGATCAATGGAATAGAATTGAGAACACAGAAATCAACTCATTCACCTATGGTCAACTGATCTTTGACTAGGTGATGGAATCAGTTAAGTGGGAAAGGGTGTTGGCATAATTGGAAAACCATCTGCAGAAAACTTAAGCAAGACCCACACTTCACACCTTACACAAAAACCAACTCAAGGTGGATCTGGGACCTAGAAATAAAACCAAAGACTATAAAATTTATCAAAGAACATCTTGGAAGAACTCTAGAAGTCATAATCCACAGCATGAACAGTCTTCCAATGAAAAATTTACAACCAGGAGAAAATGAAATAGATGAATGGGATCTTCTAAGATTCAGATCTCCATACACATCAAAAAACTTCTCCAACAGGGTAAAATGGAAACCTACAGACTGGGAAATATATTTGGCAATGATATATCTGACAAATGACATCTAAAAATTTATAGAACACTACAGAACCTTCCAGTCACAAAATGGGTACAATATGAATAGACACTTTACCAAAGAGGACATTTAGAAGATAAATGGGCACATGAAAAAATGTTCAAAATCCCTAGCTATTAGAGAGGCACATCAAAACAACTATGAGATATCATCTCACTCCAGTAACAATAGCAAAGTTTAGCATGGCAGCAAACAACAAATGTTGGCGAGCTTGCGGAGCGATTGTAACTCTTATTCACTGCTGATGGGAACGTAAATTGTTAAAACCACTGTGGAAGGCGATCTGGTGTTTTCTCAAAAAGTTGGAATTAGAAATACCATTTGGCCCAGCAATTCCACTGCTAGGAAAATGCTCAAAAGAAACCATAACCACAACTCAAATAGATGTATGCAGGTCCATGCTTATTGCTGCATTATGCACAATAGCAAAAAGATGGTCGCAACCCAAGGGCCCATAAGTAAACACAATTGAATATTATGCAGAATTGAAAAACAATTAAATAGTAAAACATTACACAACATAGGGAGCCTTGAGGACAATATGTTAAGTTCTAGATCTCAGTCACAAAAAGATAACTACAGCATGACACTGCTGTTCTTAAAAAGGGCAGACATGAGGGGGTTGGAGAGGGAACAGGGAAGATCTGGAAAGATAATGAACACTGAATTGGAACGGATGAGGGGAGGAAGTGTTTGAAAAGAATATATGATTATACAGTTATATGTGTGAGAATGGTCTGGATCAAGGGGGACATTATAGGGGATAGGGAAGGGAAAAAGAAGGGTAAATGTGCAATATTGAATAAATTTAAAAAATTCCTAAAAATAAAATGAAAAAAATACAAAGATGACAGATATTTGGGGGGAAAACAGTAAAAATCAATTATTAGAAAAATGTAGGGGGAGTGGGTAGAGTTCTATGAGATCAAAGTGTTGAAATTAGAAGGTGTAAGAGATAATTGCACTAAAGGAAAAATATAAAGTTGAACTGACCTTTAAATCCTGAAGGTGCTAGTGACTTGTTAATTATCTTTTCTATACCTCATTTATACACTGGTATACAGATACTACTTTCTTTAGTTTGTTCTATGGATTATGTGAGTTTATACATTCATATAATCTAGCCAAATGAATTTATGTCATAGGTACTAGCTGAAATGCTGTTCACATCCTTTTCCCTTCTCTTAGTAAAGCAGGTTGTATTCAACTTGACAGCACCTAACAACAACAATGTGGGCAAATATGTAAGTTGTGCTGCCAATCCAAAAGCAGGAAGCTTTTGGTCCATCAGCTGCTCAAAAGGAGAAATATTGGTAATCTTTTCCCTTGCAATTTACTGCCTCCTGAAAACCCACTATGAGTTAAAACTCAGTGGCACATACAACATTTGGAAACAATATTTTTACACTTTAAAAATTTTCCTTCCTTTTTGAATACTCAATAACTCACACTAATCTAACATCAGTGCATGCAAATATGTCTTCTCTATGTTGGTACAGTAAATCACGGTCTCTTGTAAATTTAGAGTTTATCATAGAATGATATGTCTTTTCCTGTGGATGGCGTCTGTGGGTCTAAGGACATAAAATCTGAGCATATTTAAATTCTTTACAAATGCTTGCAAACCACAAACAATATTGCAAACTCTATCCTGTGAAATTTCTTAAGCTAACTATATCCCCTTCTTCCACTCTTGTAAAGGACTAATTTGGAGATTGTAAATATGGTCAAAAGGTTGCACATAAACCAGAATCTTCCTTCCTAATCATTCCATGCATTATTGCTGGATTGTTTTCATTAAAAGCTCAGACTCACAGTATCTTGAAAGGAACTTACTTTCCAGCTGTCCGGCCACATGCACCTAAAGGTTTCTGAGAGGATTAATGGTGATATTATTTCCACTATGTTGGTTGTAAAACTTGAGTAGGATTACAAGTGTGAAGTACTTTACAAGCGTATATCAGATCATCAGATCTTAAGGCCATTTTGTTCTTAAATGATTCCAACTTGCCAATTTCAATTTAGAGTAACTCAACATCTAGTTTCTAAAGTTGTAAATATCGATAGAAAAAGATTTTCCATTTTTCTATCATGTAGCAGCTAGTGGATCCAAACCATCGAACTTTTTGTTAGCAGGTCAACACTATAATTCAATATGCCACCAGAACTCCTTATAGTATAATGTTGTTTGTTGTTGTTGTTATGTGCCATTGAGTGGGAACCAATAGCTTGCTGACATTCCAGTGGGTTTCCAGAGGCTGTAAGTAGCATGTGAGGAGATTGCCCATCTTTTCAGAGTAGATGGCGGATTCAAACCATTGCCTTTGGGTTGGCAGTACAACTACTTGACCACTACTAGGCCATTAGAGCTACTCTGTAGCAAAACAACATCTAAAACGCTGTACTACTGCTGGAGAAGGGTACTGAATGTACCATGGACTTCCAGGAAAACAAACAGATTCATCTTGGAGAGGATTAAACCAAGCTACTCCTTGGAGGCAAGGATTCTGGGGCTTCGTCTGACATACTTTGGACATGTTGCCAGGAGGGATGGGTCCTTGGAGAGGGACATCATGCTTGGGAGGGTGGAAGGACAGGGCAGGAGGGGAAGACCCTCTATGAGATGGATTGATTCGGTGACTGGGGTAATCGGGATGGGTGTGTCAGAGGCAGTGCGGTTGGTGCAGGATAGAGCAGGGTTTAGGGCTGTTGTGCATAGGGTTGCTATGAGTCGCAAATGACTCGACAGCACATAACAACAACAACAACAACAACAGATACAGGATGTATAGGATCAACTACATACTCCATAAGCTAATAGACCCAATATATTTTGCAAATAAAGGGTTTAACCTCTATTTGTCCCCATATCCTCATTTGTAAAACAGTCTATAATAATAACAATTCATGGTTGATATGAAGATTAATGAATTAAAAATCTGAACAGAGTGCTTGACTTATGATAAGTATTGAACAGCTCTTAATTTTTGTTACATGTCATTTCTTTTCAATCATACTAAATCCTTGAGCTCAGGAACCATATCTTATGTGTTGCTTCTACTCCCAAACACAGACACACAGCGACGTATCTCAGAACATTAAATGATATAACTACTTCTGAAATCTGTTTTGAAAAAATACTTAGTGTATTTTTTCTAAATTATATCGGCTTTTATAGGGAACTGTAGAAAAGCTGAATAGTTGATATTTAAAGTATGACTTTTAAATAATAATAATATAGTTTAATTTCTAAAAAAATAAAGGATACTAAGATTAAGCATATCTGTGGTGGTATGTTTATCAATTATATGATGAAATAAAAAACCTAGTGAAACAAATTACGAGTGATCGCAATTCCAAGTTATGTTTTTAGAAAACATAACTGTTCATTTCATTTTAGTGTAATGGAGAAAGGTTTAAAATACTTATCTTTTTTTTCTGCTGGTTGAAATTATCTATGATGACACCAATGAACAGGTTCAAAGTGAAGAATGATCCAAAGATGATAAAGATGACAAAATAAATATACATGTAGAGGCTGTATTCATACTGGGGCTGCCGATCGACCTACATATATAACAAAAGTTAGCAGTATGTGGACAACAGCATTACGCTTTTTTTTCCTTTTTTAACATAGCTTGATAAGATAATACAAATAGTGGTATCCTTGGTAAACTTCAGTACTTAAAAAGCCTGTGGAAGTTCAACATAATCATTCTTCAAAATCAGCATTCAACAATTGTCTATTATGTTTTCACTATGTCCATCAATATAATCTTCAAATTACAACAAAGAGCTTAACCATGTGTAGTGTTGTGCACATCTTGGTTGGAAAATTTAGTAAATAAATAATCTGATATATAATTTATATATGTTGTTGTTCTTGTTGATTGCTATGGAGTCGATCACGACTCATAGTGACCCGATGGACAGAAGGTCTGCAGGCCCTCTGTAATTATCGACATTTATCAAAGTTCATAGAGTTTCCAGGCACATGTTGTTTTAAAATGGAAGCCACTCCTGCTTTTATATATACTAGGCCGGGGCTGATTGTGGAACAGACCACCAATTACTCATATGCAAGTTCAAGCTGAAGCTGAGGAAAATTAAACCAAATCCACAGGAGCCA